TAAAAGTAGTTTATTCTTTCTCAATTCAACTTTGCAATACACTTAATTTCCACAGACACTTTAACTTCGAAAGGTATTTAAAAGCTCTTTTCAGCACAAAATATGCATACATTCAGATAATGGAGATGTGTCCAGATCAGGAATTTAGAATATCCAAGATTGTGATATCCCTTGTACTTATGGTGTAAGAAAACAAAGGAATAGATCAACTTGGGGCACCAAGACCATCCAGAAAGAAATGTAACGAGTCATATCCCCCACGTAGTATGCAAAGTGCAGAGTCTTGTAATAGGTGAGAAACCACAAACACAAAAGACATTGTCAACAGCTGTCCATGTCTTTCAGACAACAGTAACAACATTATCAAGGATGATCTCCGTCAGGAAAAACGACTTACAATAATCCCCGACATTCCACGTGTGTGATAATCACTTACACCCCTAACCTTTTTAAAATCATTTTTCACATCTTAGTATCACTGTATCTATTAATACTACTATAGAGAGCTTGGTAATTTTTCACATAATTCATAAAAACGTTAATGAAACAGTACTGAAGCTGCTTGGAAAATGTCAATAAGAAACATCTACAGTTTATCAACAATACTAAAACTTAGAAGGGATGGTCGATACAACTACAGTTTTATTAAAAACAGTAACATTTATAAGTGATAGTTGACACACCTACTGTCTTATCAACAATAGTAAAATGGAGTAAGGATAGTATACAACAGTTCTTTTAAGTAGGGATAAATACAAGTTGTGATATTGTTAGGTTAAAAATAATGGTAGCAAAACAATAAAAAAGGGGAATAGACTGAATTCTTGTTGATTTTAATAGTAACTAGACCACCGTGACCCGTTGGGTCAACCACTATTCAGATGTTATGAAGAATTCGAGCTAATCTCAATATTGCACACCAATGATGGTTTATTTTGAGATAATTTAATTAAATATTTCAATCCTTTCGTGTTATTTATAATTCTAGAAAAGATGTTTGATTTTTGATCGGGAGTAAAAGGAAAGACCATTTCATTTTTCAAAAAAAGAGAAGTAAGAAGTTTCGTAAAAAGCGCGAACGATAGTGTGAATGATTTTTTGACTGAGAAAATAAGCAAACAAACAATCTCAGAGTTTTAGTAGCATATAGATAGATTCTTCAAGATCTTGTTTTTGTCATCTTACGCCTTTTAATGAAGATGGGAACATTGACAGGGAAATAATATAATAGTCAATGCTCGGCAAGAGGTTTTCGTTTATAAAATTTTGTTGTTGTTCTGGACTTGATATTTATTTTATTACCTCGTCTCCATAGTTACAATTTGCAAATAGTCAATAGTATTGTAGGACCATTTTATTGTTGTTCTTTCTAAAATAACACATTTTCATCTCATCATTTAACTTCTGTTGTGCATATATTGTTGTATAGAAGATATTTTAAAGTGATTCATCAGGTGG